TGTGTGTGTGTGTGTGTGTGTGTGTATGTGTGTGTGTGTGTGTACTCCAGCATCATCCAGGCCCGGTGAGAAGGAAATACAGCTCATGCTCCACCATATTCCTTGACGACAGCACCGTCAGTCAGCCCAACCTCAAATACACCATCAAATGGTAACTATTTGTACCTAACAGGAAATAATTCACAATCTAATGTTCAAGCTCATATCATGCTTTTAGTTTGAAATTAATTGCTTTTATTTTGTTTGTCTTTACAGCGTAGCCCTGGCAATATACTACCACATAAAGAACAGGTATGATCATCCCTCTGTCCTTTTCATAATCCAGCATCAAATATCAGCATCACAGGTTAGCAGAGAAAAATGAAACCTGGACAGGAACAAATGCCCCTCAGAGCTCATGTCGAAATGTCAAACTCTTTCGATATCGTGACATTCTGTCTGATGGCTGACTCCATCTGAGGCCTGAGTGAGCTGGAATAAGCTGTGGTCTTGTAGAAGGGTGTAGAGACATCCTTTTCCTTGTCTCCGTAGCGATAACGGGAGGAATCCCATGACGCTCTGCGTTTTGAAGTGCGGATAAATGCCCATAAACAATGTGACATCCCAGAGGATGACGTCATATTTCAGAAAGAAATGAGTCTCATGCCATCCGTTTTTTTTTATTTGTATTTCTATCGCACTCCCCTAATCTGTTTGTCATTCCAGGGATGTCGACGGAAGAATGTTGGTCGACATTTTCGATGAGAAACTGCACCCGCTCACGGTAAGGCCTTAACTGAAGATGCGTTTCCATTATGTGAATACTGTGGAGCTATCGGCACTCATCAGCAAGACAAACACACACAAGCAAACACACACATTGAGCTCGCAGCTCGTGTTTTCCATTTCGGCAAACGACCCCATCAAGTGCCCGTTGAACAGAGCGAATCTCTCATTTTCATTTTCATTTGTTGTCTTTTCTTCTAGAAGTCTGAAATTCCTCCGGATTACGAAAAACACGACCCCGAGCAGAAGCAGATCTACCGCTTCGTCAGGACGCTGTTCAGCGCCGCACAGCTCACCGCCGAGTGTGCCATTGTCACCTTGGTAAGTGTGTGTGTGTGTGTGTGTGTGTGTGTGTGTGTGTGTGTGTGTGTGTGTGTGTGTGTGTGTGTGTGTGTGTGTGTGTTTCAGTGCTGACACCAGGAGGGAGTGTTGCTTCCTGATTCTCTTTTTGCCCTCCGTCGTCTCATGCGCTGTCCTCTTTCTACTACCTTGCTTAGACTCTTTTCTCTCGTTTGTTCTTCCTCATGAATCCTATGGAACGCTCCATACATCCCTCTGGAGATTGTGTCCCCCGACAAATGTTGAAAAGTGAACTAATCCTCACAGGAGAGACCAGAGGATCGGAAGGTCACGCGTGATTGGTTTGATCCGTGCAGTCTCATTTCAGAATAACTTTGGTGTGGGCCCGTGTGTCGGCGCCTGTAGCGAGGATATAATTGGTGCTTTAGTTTGCAGCAGGATCACTTATGACATCCTGCGCTGCTCACCTGTTTTAAAAAATGTGAAAACAAGGACAGCTTCTATCCCCATTCTGTCTCATTGCTTTCACTTTCTCTTCACCTCGGACTCTTTGTTTCACTTTTTGTTTTGTGTGCTTTCTCTTGTCATCATCAAACATGACAATTTCTTAAAAAAATACACAACAATATTATAAATTGATAAAAAGACAATTAATAAGTATAAAAAATAATATATGAGTGAAAGCCAAAAGAACATTAAGAATGACATTTATTATTACCAAATTAAATGAATAGGTTTTCAACTCGTTATGCTCTTCGTAGGGTATTCCATAATTTTGGAGCATTGTAAAAGAAAAAGAAAGCTGCGCTGCCTATTTTCTTTTGCGCTTAATTGTGTGTATTGTATGTATAATATAAAAAGCCAGCAGTAGAAGATCTGAGAGCTTGTGAAGGATTAGAAAACATCAGAGAGTCTACAATGTAGGCCGGTCCCAAACCATTAAGAGCTTTACAAAACAAATCAAAGGACCTTACTCTAAAAGATACTGGGGGCCAATAGAGTGCAGCTAAAACCAGGGGAATAAGCTCTCTCTTACTTGTTTTGGTTCAAAGGCTGCCAGTACAGTTCTGAATAAGTTGAACTTGTTCAATTGGCTGTTTTTCCAAGACCAGTAAACCCCCCCCCCCCCCCCCCCCCCCATCTGCCCAGAAACATCTCTTTCCACACTCGGTCGATCTGGCCGACACCAGTGTCCCCAGAGACTGGAGAGTGCGGGGTTAATAGGGCTGGCCTGGTGGCCTTGTATCGAGTTGCTCTGCTTCCTGACAGATGCACAAATGTGTGAACTGCATGTATGGGGGGTGGGGGGGGGGGGTTCCTTGTGTCCAGACAGTGATGGGAATGCAAGCACATTGATGCACAGTATCTGTAATGTTCCTGTGTCATTATCCAAGTACAGGCGTACTCTAGCAAAGATATGTCACACTTAATTAATCACATGTGCGCACGCACACACACACACACACACATACTGGCACATGGCCTGCCTCATCCAGTCCCCCAGAGTGAAGTCTGGCATGGCACCAGTAATTGAATAGGGCCGATGGCTGGTGGTTATGCGGTTAGCTTCGCTGACACGGCTAACTTTAGTCTTTCTTCCCTTCACAATCATCACGTCAGTGGACAGGAAAGGGAAGGCGGAGGGGATCGAGACGACGGAGTCTCTTTCGGGAAGTCGGATCGTGTTCAAGACTTCCAGTAGGAGACGTTGTGGACACGTTGCACTTTGTGACATGTGAAGCTACAGCTCAAACTCTTAACATTCCCAAAGAGGTCATTCATTGGCGTGTCACACGTAAATATTAAAAAAGCTGCGTTGTTTGTGTGTGAGATGGAATCTCCTCTTGCGTCCGTCACGTAACCCGCGTGTGTGTGCGCTGGTTTGTTTTGTGTGTTGTAAAATGTAGTTTTGGTGAGAAACTACAATAAGTCCAGTTGTTCGAGGGAGATTTTTTTCACAGCGATATAAAATAGATATTAGGGAGTGAATTGTGACGTTTATCTTGCGAACACTAGCTCTAAGTCTCCAGTTTATCATACATCATTAAAATGACTAATGTTAACATTATTTTTACCGATTAAAAACATTGTCATTTGAATTGTGTGTTATGCAAATCACCACTATAGATGACTTAAACACAGTAAAAGGAAGTAGTTGATGAAAATAATAAGTATTTTAGTTCATTGGCTATCGGCCTATTAGAGATGGACTGTAGTGAGATGAACCGAGTGAAATCGGTATCTTATTAGACACAACAGATGTTGACAAACTGCATAATTTTCAGTAATCAATCGCAATATATCGCAATGTTTGATATCGCAATACTCAGCATATCGCAATAACACGGTATCGTGACTTGAGTATCGTGATCATATTGTATCGTGGGGCCTCTGGTGATTCCCATCCCTAAATCAGAATCACAAAATGAATACATTTGAGTGTAATGTGGCTGCACAGGGCTACAGTTTGCCTCTGGGTTCTTTGTTGTGCCTCTTTGTGGAGTTTCCTCTCTGTGCCGTTGCATCCACATCCCCCAGCATGTGGCCCGGCTCTCATTTCATGCGGGCTTTCTTCAATGTTTGCTGCCAGAGGAGTGTATACGTGGTGTCTGTTGGTAGGCTCTGGGCCACAACAGAGATAGGGTTAGCACCGCCTGCAGGCACACAGCCCAACCCAGCACGACTTGTCCAATTAGCCACCTGAGCTGTGTTAGTGGGCAAGTGAAACCAGGCTGCAAAATAGGATGAGAGTATGTTTTCTCTGCTCTCCGCCTCTCTATTTGTCCAAACCACAAGGAACCATTTTATATCCATATATGTCCAATAATTAGACGGCAATAACCATCATCTAACAGAGGACCCTCTGCTTTCCGACAGGCTTCTAGGACTCTGTTTAGCTTTTTAAGTCACATAGTGCTGACAGTTCTGCCGCAGTGCACATTCAGTGGAATCCATCTATTCTTTTTGAGAGACTTGTCATCTGAGATGACAGATTTCAAATCTGTAACCGGTCTGAAGTCTGTTGAGCCCGCAGAGCGTTTTATTCATGGAAACAAAAATGTAGTTCCTAGTCAGCCGAGGAAAGAAATGCTGTGACAAGAATACGATTGTTTTGTTTGTATTAGATCATTTCTGTCACAAACTTAAGCAAATTACATGTTCAAAAAGCCGGCCATAAGTACTGTAAATACTAAAAAAAGAACAAGACTAAGTTACAGTATTTATGAATACAAAAGTACAAACTCCATATTGGTAAATGTACATTTAAAGTAAAAAGCTGACACATGCATGTCTGCACACTTTACAGAGAGGCTGTTTGATACTGTTCTGTAGCTTCCATTAGCAAGCCAGACCTTTAGTCGTCTCCTTGCCACGGATCACGGCAGCTCTCATGCTTTACAGCGACTCTCTAACAAAATAATGATCAGTGGAATCAGCCTCTGTATTACACAAGTATTCCAGCTTGTGAGGAACAGGTGCCTGCGGGCTCACTGTGCTTTGTGATCTGTAGACGGTGGGAAGTCTGGCTACCGAAAAAAAGAGGGAGAGGGAGAAATGGAAATGGGGAGAGAGGCAGAGAGATGGAGCGTTTTGATATGTTAATGAGCGAGCTCCAGAGAGGCTGGATTTCATCAGCTTCTGCCATCTTGTTATTGTGTATTGTTTTGATTTTTTTACCTGGAGGAGGAGTCGGCAGGAGACAAGCAGCAAACTAACTGCACATAAATGTAGACACTCCCGGTAGAGTAGAGGCTAATGGATAATACATCAATACAAGCTTCAGTCAGGGGCTCAGTTATGTTCATTATTTAGTTTGTTCAAAGATGAACATGTTCAGAGTTATTAACATGTGACGCTTGTCTTTGTTCAAGGTGTATTTGGAGAGGCTCCTGACCTACGCTGAGATCGACATCAGCCCTGTTAACTGGAAGCGCATCGTGCTGGGAGCCATCCTTCTGGCATCCAAGGTGTGGGACGACCAGGCGGTCTGGAACATCGACTACTGCCAAATTCTCAAGGACATCACTGTGGAGGACATGTGAGTTGCTGCCAAAACACACCCAAAATATTGTATGGAATGCAGACACAGGTGAAAGGCCTGTACACTGAGGTACTCTGAATGTTGAAGGTGGTTATTGACATACAGGCGGCTCCTTTACAGTATTTAGTTTCTAAGGTGTGTTGCTTTGAACCAGTTCTATTTCCTCTGCGTGACAATAATTACTAAACGTAAGAATGTGTCTGTGATGTGACGGTGGCAGGAGATGTTTAATTATTCCTGTGTAATAAGACATAGCTTTTATAGCCAACTTTTCATTTCCATTGCATGATCTATTGAGGCCAAGCCAAAATAAATTGGCTCCAGTTGAGTAGTTGACTTTAAAGCTGGTTCAGCCCAAAACTCAGATAAGTAGTTCACAGTCAGAAAAAACTTTTTTTTAAAAGCATTAAAAAAAAACTGCAACCAGTGAATTATTGCATTTTCGCTTGAAAATGTTGTACACAAAACATTTTCTGTTGATGGACCAATTGATTAATTAACTAACTGTGACTGTTGACCTAACATGGTACAGAGTCTCAGCCACTAGAACTCTCTTCAGGGTCTTTCTATGCTGAGAGTAGTCCGTGTTTGTGACCTCAGCCTGCGTTCAAGAGGTGCTCAGAGTCGCATGTAGGGAGGTCTGGAGATCCCGCTGCCCGGTTTGTGTGACACATGTGACTAACTGTCTTCTGTTGTGGCTCTTGGATTGGTCCCAAGAAAGCAGTGAGACAGTAGGTTGGCTCGGTCAGATACAACTCCGCCTCATGATACAGTATGAAGATGCTGTCTGCCCTTTGTCAGAGCAAGATGAATGCATGCAGGCCTGTAAAAAGCATGCGCTGATTGAAACCGTTTTTATCAGGTTTTCTTGCAGCTTTCCCAATGAAGCAATAGTATAAATCCAGATTCCATCATGTCACCAAGCTTGAAACATGGCTGGTTTGTTAGTTCCTCTGTTAGACAGGGAAGAAGCATCTTGGGCACGAGGACCCACCACGCTGTCCTGCAGACCACATCCGTCTGGATAGATTTTTTTTCTGAAGGGTGAAACACGATGCTGTAGACGTGCCGTCACTGCTGCGACCTCTGACCTCTGCTGCCCTCACACTCCTCTGCACCGGTGGCTGTGTATTCTTGTCCTTGGGCTCAGATTTTACAGAGCAATGACTCTAATCCACCAGTTTGGCGCGATTTACTGGACGGTGACTTGACCACAGATTTCCTCGGAAGATCAATTTTTTTTAAATCCACGCTCGGTAACTCGCCCTCTCCATCCGCAACAGGCACACGCTAGACCGTGAAATAACCACAGGGTAGTCTGGGAAGAACAGTGAGGAGCGGAGAAATATAAAAAAAAAGGAAATGGATGAGAATAGCTGAATGAGAGCCACGGCCGGATAGAAACAGAAGCAGCGGTATCAGGCAGAGTTTGGCTACAGTGGAGGCTAAATTTAGCCCGTCTGTTGCTGCATGCCTGTAAATGTGCGTGGGTGGGGAACAGAGGCTAGGGAGGAGAGATGGATAGCGCCTCTTGTGCAGGGTACAGCGAGAAAGAAAAAAGGAATCGGCCGTGAATAAAGATAAACAGACGAAAGCGTCTGTCAGCGCGCTGCAGCGGGGATCACAGAGCTGTGCAGCATGAGGCAATGAATGACATTAGCATTTTCAAGATATGGGATCAATATTTTTTGTCACACGTAATGCTCACAGCCCTGTGCTTCGATATCACTCCTTTTCAGTACGAGGAGAGGCTCATGTTTGGTGGGTGCACTGGGGATTTACTTGGTGGAGGTGTATTGGTACCGCACATGGGGAAAATAACACCCCCTCGTTACTCTCCGTCTCCTCTTCAGTCGCTCTGTACAGAGTTTATTTGTAGACAGACAAATCTGTTTCAACCTCAACTACTTCTGGTTCCGAGCGAAATATCTGATCACACATCCCCC